TTTTTATTTTATATTCTCAAGCATAGTATTAGGTTGTATAAATGGCATCAAGTGGTTGAATTTTATTTTATTGTTGTGTTGTTTTATTTTTGAAATATTTATTAATTGTAATAAGACCCATCTGTAAGTGATCTTTTTGCCAAAATAAAAAAAGGGTGATTATCATTAGAGAATAAAAAAAAAAAAGATTATATTCCCTGACAAAATATCACATAGGACTTTCTTTCAAAAAAGCCACAATATCATTTCTTACTACTTAGAACTATGTTCTTTTGTGCTTACCCTTTACTTATTTTTTATCTCTGAACCAACTTGTACCTCCTAACAGATACCTTATTAGGTTTGCATTGCACATCGCCAACCCACTTAAAACTACTTTAGCTCATTTTATCGAAGCCATACCTTTGGACTATTTTCTCTCATTTTATCGCCTGACGGAGCTACACCAAAATCTTTTTAATGTATTCATTTCAATTCTATCCCTTCCTATCTTGTTAGTCATCCATCTCAATATCTTCATCTTCATCTTATGCGTATATTTTTTATTGACCAGCCAACCTTCTGGTCTCACAGCCATCTTATAGAACTTCTCATTCAGTTTCATTGGTATGCAGTGTATAACTCCACTTGCACATCTCCACTTCATCCACCCAGCTATAATTCTATACATAACATCTTTCTCAATCTCTCTATTTTCCTAGAGAGATTAACCTATAAGAGACGCAGTACAAAAGCGCTCCTCTCTAAAAATAAAATGCAACTATGATTTTCCCAAACAAAAAAAATAAATATCAAGTTCCAATATCACGATACAATTAGACCTTAAGACTTAATCGAACATAATTTGATTATAAAGGAAAGTCTTGCAGAAAATGACACATGACTATTACATCTTATACTTTTTACTCCTTACTCCAATAGGTGGAATATGAAATATTACAATGCTTTTCGAGCTTAGACCTATTCCATACTTGTTTCACTACGATAATCTTTTAAAAAAGTAACAAATTTAGTGTGAACTAAAATCCCCGTCTTTGGACAAAGGATGAATGTCGGTAAATTTCGATGAGCGAGTCCTTTCCAGATAAGGGTGGCAATAGGCAGGGCTTGGGCCTGGGCCGGCATTGGCCAGGCCGGCATTGGCCCTAGCCCAACTCTCAAGCCACAATTCGTAGCCCGGATCCAACGTTTTTTGCTTGGACGACCAGTCCGGGCCTGGCTGCAAGGCCCATTAGTAGCCCTATTTCGAGGTTGCCCTAGCGTGGAAATCAAAGCGGCGGCCCCAACGAATTCATGGGAAAGAGCGAGACCAAGAGTCCGCGTTTTAGAGTCCACGTAACAAACGCTAGGTTTATTTGCACACGACCGTTTCCCACGTGGCGGCATGTCAAATTGATGGATTAGGTCGGTCAACTTTTGAAGTCTTCTCCTTCTGCCACGTGCCTCTAAATAGTAGCTTCTCAGCCGTCGGATCCAGTTCGGTGACCTACGGCTGCCGACCAACAGACTTAACTGTTTTCCACGCCCGGCTACGACGCTCCCACTTATCCATTCCTTTTGGATTTTGTCCTTACCTTTCCTCTTAATTACGTAATCCGTCCAATTCGGGAAAGCCAAATCTTGTGATGCAACAGTTTTTATGGATCGGCCGACTCATATGTAGATATACGCCCCTCTCTTCATAATTCATTTTTTAGATGGATTTTGAATTAATTTTTTAGAAATATATATAATATTTAAGATGGGGAACGTTTCATGTATGTTCTTTAGATGGATGCATGATGCGTCAGTGGATGCAAAAGGTAAAGGACACGGTTAACATGCAGCCGACAGGCGTATTGTAGAAATACGGCATTGGCAAAAATATACTTTTTAAAAATAATTTTATTTTAATTTTTAGAGTATATATAATTTTTAACATGAAGATCATAAACATGAAAAAAATAAATAAAAATTAAAAATAATAATATATTAAAAAAATATTTGGATAGATAGTTACAATTATTTTTACATGGACACTTATTTGCATCCAACTTTAAAATAGATGCTTTATATTGGAACTGTAGAAATGCGGGCGAGCCCGCATGAAACAATTGTTCAAACGTAAAAATGTAAAACAATTTTCCAAGTAAAATATGTAGGTTGATAGGATAGAACAGCTTTGATTGGTATGAGAACATGGCCGCTCTATTTTGTCAGGGAATCTCAATAGTTTAGGGGAAGAAGTCAAATAAAAGTTGCAAGTTGCTCTAGAATTTATTTCTAGAGGATGTTTCTGGAATACATGGATCACCATTGAAATTTATCATGGAGAAAAGAAGGTGCACAACCATTGGACCGCTATCCAACTCCATATGTGGATAGCATCTTATTTCTTATTACCAAATTACCCCCATATGGGTGTAGGTTATTTTGTTTTGGTTAAATAAGTTGGGTAGATTCATTTTACTAACACCGTCATTCCCTATTTTCATGTTTTGATATTTTTAGAGAAGTTCCTCTTGTTCCGTAATTCCAAAGAAACGTACTTCTATATCAAAAGAGCATATTTTTCGAAATTAAAAAAAAAAGGGATATAAAGCCGTGGTAACAGTTTTTTTTTTTTAGAAAGATTTGTTACTACTGGAATTCAAAAAAGTTTTTTTATGCAACAAACAACAACAAAAACAAACAGGTAATAAACCCTTGGAATCATCTGAATCAACATGACTCGATGAATGAATTTCATGATTTATTGGATATATATGAGTAAATGGACCTATATGCTTTAATATCTAGAATTTTTTTTAAAGAAGTTGGTCTTGTTACTCAAGAGAGGAGAGGAAGGCATTTTAGTCATAACATGCACATAGGGACTATTTGAGAAGTGAAGGGCAATATAGTCTTTTGTCCAACAAAGCGAGCGACGGGGGTATAACAAACATGGGAGGTGAGGCAGTTGGATAAATATATTTTTATTTTACTTATTTCTGAGCACCTTCTTTTTTGTGCGCGCCAACGACTAACCCAATACAAAGTCACGCCTTATTTGTGTTTTGGCCATTCCAATATAAATACCCCTCTCTCTCGCCCCCTTTATTTCCCATCTCTGATATTGCAGGCACTGTGTAGAGAGAGAAAGCGTTTAGTTTTTAGAGAGAAAGAGAGAGGTTAGTTTTTAGGAAGAGAGAGAGAGAGCTATGGAAAAGATGCTGATGAATGGGAGCATGGAGGAAGAAGAATCGAAGAGAAGATTTGTTCATAGTCAGGTGAGAAGGATACAAGAGGAAGATGGGAAGATAAGGGACCCTTCTCTCCCTCCTCCCCCTGAAATATTCCGATATGGCCGCCCCGCTTTCAGAGAGTCCTCCCGCCAGCTCTCTCTCTCTCCTCTTGGACGAGCTGCCCGCCCCATCTCAGTTGGGGAATCCTGATTTATGCAGGCCCTTCCTTTTTTCCTGAGGCTTGTATAATTTCATCTCCCCCGTCTCTCTCTCTCTCTCTCTCTCTCTCTCTACTACTACTACTACTATATACGTACTACGTACGTACGTTACGTTACTTACTTACTTACTTACTTACTTACTTAGTTACGTTAGTTAGTTAAGGTTAAGGTTA